CGACCCCACGTCTTGAGGGGTGGTGGGTGGGGGGCAAGTCCCACTCCCACGGGACAGTCTCCGCCTCTGCTTCTTTCCAGTGGGGCATCCCGACCACACGAGGCGGCAATGCACGCGTGCTGGCTTTCTTTCGCTGAAGTTTTTTTTCTTTTAAACTCTCCATAAAATCCTCAGTTTCTCGCATCAAAGAACAAAAGACCCAAGTGGTCATGGCTGTCTCTCTCTCTCTCTCTCTCTCTCTCTTTCTCTGTCTCTCTCTCTTTGAGATTCTGCGATTACCCCAGGGAGCTCAGGTACATCCCCAGCCCTTTTAAAATCTTATTTCCAGTGGAGGTCTCTTTAAGTTGCCCAGGCTGGCCTGGTACTTGAAATGCTCCTTCCTGCCTCAGCCTCCTGGTGCACTTCATCTCCACCAGTAGCTGCTGCTATTGGTCTTTTCCATGTGCTCCAGGAGACACTTCATCTTGCATTCTGGTGCCTCAGGACCCCCGAGGACAGTGTGGACCCCAGGCTTCATGCTGTGTACCGTCCCCTCTCCTGAAAGCCCAATTTTTTTCTTGGGGAAAGGGCTCTCCAATTAGAAGAGGGGGGCTTAGGCAGAATGTGGGGGGACACAGGGCATCTAAGGAGAGATGCATGACCTACAAGGGCTTTGCTTACCACACAGCCCAAAGGGTGGGTCCTCCTTGCTGTCAGTGTTCCACACAAATGTGAAGCTGGGCTGGAGCCCTGTGGGGATGGGGCTTTGGCCGGCCTGGTGCCTCCTCTTACCACCGGCCCAGGGTGCCCCTCCTCAGGGGAATGCTGCCAGCTGCCAGGAATGCCAGGAGCATTGAGGACAGACTGCCCAGCCTGACACTGGCTCTCCTTGCAGATGGGGCTGGCAAGGCCCTGGCACATGGCTGCATTGTGCCTGGGGTCACCAGCACCTATAGACGGATCCCAGACTTGGCTCCTGGATGCACGCCGGGCCTCCGGGAAGGAGAGGGCGAGCCACAGTGGCTGGAGGGGCAGGTGCCTCCTCCCAAACTGGCCTCGTGGGACTCAGGGGTGGAGACGGTGGCAGGGCACAGCCCCCTGGCCACCTTCCCAGGCCTCTCTCAGGACTCTCTGAACATGAAGCCCCTGGGGAGCCCTGAGCCCTCAGCCCTTGCTGCCCTGGAGCCCCCTGGCCAGTTGGACCGGCTGCTGGCCAGCCGCAAGTTGGAGCAGGTTCTGGAGCGGTCCCAGGTGCGTCCCCGCTTGTCCGCACAGCACCATGTCCCACCACCGGCACCGCGGAGCAGGCCTGGGTGTGTTACGCCCCTGCTGGGAGCCGGACAGGAGCCCGCCGAGGTGCAGGCCGAGCCAGAGGTGGACCTGGAAGAGGCAGAGGTGGTGAGTGTGGGCCTGGGGCTGGGGGAAGCAGGGGGGGAAATGGCGGGGCCACATGGGACTGCTGGGGACTCCCACCTGCTCTCATTCTCCCTGGAGCTCTCTCAGGGTGGGGCTTTCTTTGCCCCTAATTGACGGTTATATCACTGCTGTTGGCCTCATGCCACTCCCAACTGTGGTGGCCACCCCCACAGGGGAGCTGGGCAGGTTTGGGTCCCGTGCAGCCGGCAGGGGGCAGCCAGCTGGTGTGTGCTCCTCACCTGCCTGCTGCACCCCCATCTGCTGGTGGGGCACAGCCTGGCTGCCCAGAGTCTCCCCTACTTGACTGTGATCCCCCAGGTGGCAGCCGTGGTGCCCAGAGGCTGGGCCTGCCTCCCAGGGCAAGGGCTTCGCTACCTGGAGCACCTGTGCCTGGTGCTGGAGCAGATGGCAAGACTGCAGCAGCTCTACCTGCAGCTGCAGAGCCAGAGGCCCCCAGAGGTGAGTGAGCCCCTGAGCAGGGCAGCCAGGCCAGCAGGGGAAGGAGACAGAAGGGCAGGGCCCCGGGAACTGTCACTGCTTCCAGAGCCATCCTGTCAGGCCCTGACCGCCCCATCTCTCCCGTTCCAGGATCTGGAAGAGGAGCTGGCCCTGGCTCCCTTACCTTCCCTTTCATCTGCCCCAGGCAATGGGGTGCACGGGTCAGAGGAGCTGCTAAGCCCAACAAATGAGACAGGTGAGGGGCAATTTGTTTTTGAGACAGGGTCTCGCTGTGTAGCTCAAGCTGGCCTAGAACTTGTAGCAGACCTGCCTCAGCCTCCTGAGTGCTGTGATTGCAGAGATGCACCGCTGTGCTCAGTTGAGGGGCAATTCTGTCTTCCTCTGTGTCTCACCTGGCTCAGGTGCTTCAGTTGAGGCCCTGAGCCAAAGCTTGAGGGGGTAACTTCTTGTTCCTGGACCCAGGTAACCTGGTTCTCTTTCTGAAGGGACAGAGGCAGCCTCACGCTCGGAGGTTGGGATGCTCAGTTCCAACCCTCCCCAACTGCCAGAGATCCCGGGGGAACCAACTGACAGCTTTCCGCCCTCCCTGGGACACAAGGTAGTGCGGACACAAGGTGGACACATGTGGGGCATGTGATAGGCTGGGGGATGGTGGGGTGAGGTGGGGTGGGTACTCTGAAGGCTAGAAATGTTGGGAAAATGACAGGATTCTTGTCAGGAGCAGGTGACAGCTGTGCCTGGGGGCTTTGGCGGGGCACATATGTGTACGGAGGGGCTCTGGTGACCCCCTACCATCTGCTCAGCAGAGCCCCTCCCACTGGGACAAGATCAAGGTGCTGCTCAACCGGATCCGCTGGAGGAGCCCCGGACACCCTGAGCACTCTGTCCCTCCTGATGGTTGTGGCCCCAGGTGAGCCCTGTGCCCAGTCCAGAAGAGGGAGGAGAGGAGAGCGGTGAAATGGACTGCTGAGGTCGTCCTGCCAGTTGTCGTTTTTGTCCCTGTGAAAGTTGAAAAATGTGTTGGAGGGGCCGCTGGAAGGAAGAGAAAGTTGCTAAAATGCCCCGCTTACAGATAAGGCAGCTGGGACCTGGGTGGGACCGGAGGCAGTGGTTTTCCCAAAGCTGCTGAGTGAGTGGGCGACAGAGCCAGGACCAGATTATGGGAAATCTCACTGCAACCCCTTGTCCCTCAACACTGAAATTTAAACCAGCACCCTGGGTTTGTGGGGAGAGCGAGGTAAAGGCCCCGACAAAGAGTTTCACTTTCGGTAAGGTCTATCATACTCGGTGCTGTTACTAATTCTCTAGAGGAAGAAGCACCAGCTTAACATCTCCAGGCTCCCCGCAACAGCTAAGCAACGCTCTATCAAGTCTGGGGCTATTCTTTCCTGGGTGCTTGAAGACTCCTTTTCTTTTCCACAGGACTGAGTCCAGGGACTTCTCTGAAAGCCCTCAGTGCCACCCCCAACGGAAGACTTTTATGCCGTCATTAGTGGTTAAGAAGCAACGGGCAAAAAACTTTTCAGTATGTTGAGGCCTCGATGTAGCTGGTAGCCCTGGCAAAGGGGATTTGCCTCGGAGTCTTTCTTGTCCTTTCCCCTGTTGCTGCTTTTCTGCACTGCCAGGAAAAGCTACTGATGCATGCCCTTCTCCAAGGCGAGGACTGAGTCTTTCTCCACTGAGCACTGTGGCAGAGGAGCCCTAATTCCTGGAAAGGGCCCAGGGTGTGGCAACTTCAGAGCTCCGCTTCCTTGCTAGAAATCCCTGGGCCCAGACAATGTGAACTAACTTATTTATCAGGCCTCCGTGTATTTGGCAGGACGATGTGTCTGGGCTCAGCATGTTGCAGATGCGTGTTCATGTATGATGATACATGTGTGTGGGACTGTCGGGATTGGTAACTGGCTGGATCCAACTATGCCCGCTGGAATCTTGCATCCAAGGGGCTGGGTAACTATGGAAGGGTGGAGCTAGGCTTCAGTCCACACAGGGGTTACTGATCTGGATTCCAGCTTTCCTCCTCGTGACTGAATTGGCAGCTCCAGCACAAAGAAGACTGCTGTCTTGGCTACCTCTGTATTAGTCGTGCACCTGGAGCTCCTGTGGACTGTGTGAAGAGTGCGCAGGCATGGGGGAGGATCAGGGACAGTGTGGGGCACAGCGGAATAGCCTTCAGGGCTGGTTCTCAGCTGCTGTGCTCCATACTAGCTTGTACGTGTCAGAGCTGAAACCTGAAGCTAATGCTACATAGCTGTTAGACTTGACAAAGTCTCAACTTTTGAGCCACAGCTTCCCATTTGGGATAATGATGCCTGCCTTACCTACCTCACAAGCTTGTTATGAGGATAAAATGAGATGAAACTGTCTCCAAGTGTGCTGTGAATGTAAAGTGAATGGGAAATGGGGAGGGTATGGGTGCTGGAGGGAGGCTGGGCTGGAGGGGTGATGGGGAAGTCAGGTTCGGGGGGGACTGGGACTGTTAACGGGACTAGATTCTCCCACTGTCTTGGCAAGATTTTGAGCAAAGTCATTTAATTGAAATCTCTTTAAATTTCATATTAGAGAATTAGGGCACAGATTCCTGATGTGCTTACTCCCCAGGGTTGTTAAGGGTTGCAGTCAGTAGAAGGACAAGAATGGGGATGGGGTGATTGGCTTGAGTCATACAGAAGAATGTTTCCTAGGTAGGGACACTGATCAGGCATGTCCCTCTTCCAGTTAGGTGAGGCTAGTTCTCTTGCTACTGTAGTCTTGAGGGCTGCCAGAGTAAGGCAGGTGTGTGGGTGGTACGCCCTTCCGGTGTGTTGGGGTTCAGCTTCTGCTATCTTTGGATAGCAAGTCTATGGATCAGCTTCTACTATCATTGGAACCAACGCTCCGAAGCCTGCTTTTGTGACGGGACACTTAAGCAAGGACACCACTGAGGCGCGCCTGGTGAAAGCACATCCGATCCGGGAAGGCGCACTTCCGCTCCACTGTTGCAGTGGGATGGCAGGCGGGCGTGGGGGAAGGGAGACGTCCGTGGAGGCGAGGGAGGGACCATATCCGGCAGAGTGGCAGCTTCCGACCAGTGGTCGCACTTCCGGAGAGACGCTTCCGGTGGTGGCGGCAGCAGCGGCTCTGGTGGTTCCGGGTGTCTTTGTCCCCCCAGTGTCGCGGCCCTGGCCCGCAGGTGGGTTGGGTGGCCCCCTGCAGCTTCTCTGCCCCTTCTCCGCTCTCCCGGCCGGGGGGCTGTGGGGGGTCGGGCGGCACAGATGCTCGGGACACCCAAGGGGCAGAGCCCCCTTCGGACTGCGAGCCTCGTCTCCCTGGCAACGGCCTCGGCCCGGGGGCGGGCGGGAGGAGGAGAAACCGCGCGCGCCTTCGTCCTCCCACGGTGGCCTCACCGCAGCCCGGCCCAGGAGGACGCGCCGGCTGCTGCTGGGGCGGACGGGAGGACCGGGGAGCGGGAGCAGGAGGGCGGTCCTGGGTCGATCGGCGTTGGGCCGCCCGGAGAACCCTGTTCCCACGCGCCGGTCTGGGCGACAGCGGGCCAGGCTTCCGGGGACAGGGCCCGCACCGGCCTCCTCCATTTTTTCAGGCCCATCGTGGAACGTTTTGGCGGATGTTTTTGAATGAATGAATGTCATCGGAGCTCTTTTCAGCCCCCACTCTCTAACCTCTCTGTGGGTGGTGTGGGATAATGAGAGGCGAGCTAAGTTGTTGGGAGACCTCAGTGTGAGTCGCAGTTTTGTCACTACCTGGTGTTGCGGCCTGGGGCGAGTCTCCTGATCTCTCTGGTCTCTAGTTTGCGTCTCTGTCAAACAGCATGTCGGTATCACCCTCCACTCGGTTTCTCTGAGAGCAGACTGGAACAGTGTAATCTCTTCCTGCCCTTCCTGCCTCTCTCTATAACCTCACCACTGCTTCTCCATCCTTAGTACTCACGTCCCTTAAGATCCTTAAGATTCTCCTCTTTTTCTGGGAGAGGTGGAAATCTCCCATATGAGGGGTTAACTTCTTTCTTTTCTAATTGAAGGTTTTTCCCCAAGATTCTGAAAGAGGACAGCATTCCCAATGTCCCAGTTTAAGCGCCAGCGGATCAACCCGCTTCCAGGGGGACGCAACTTCTCAGGTGATCACTGTTTTCCCTAACTGGCCTCGTGCAGGGATCTGTGCGTGCTGGAATTAAGTTTCCCAAAGTGTGGCTTTTGGGGCTTCCCTGGTGGCGAGCAGTTTGCTGCTGCTGATTCTTAGGAAATGAGATCACCACAATGGTTGCCAGTGAGGCCGAGGAAGAGCTGGCTGCAGGCGCTGTGCCCCCTGGTTTACAGTGACCTCTTAGCTATCTGCAGTGCTTAGGGAGGTAGATGCGATTCCTGGAGATTGCTTCTCTGTCCCCATAGGCGCCGCTTCAACATCTCTTCTGGGCCCTCCCCCTGGTTTGCTTACTCCTCCTGTGGCCACAGACCTGTCGCAAAATGCCAGGCACCTTCAGGTAGGTTGGGTGTCCATTCTAGGGAATTTCAGCCTTGGCCCTGCCTCAGCACGCACGCATTTCTGATGCGCCCTCGGTTCTTACGTTAGAGTGGTCGGCATGCCTGACTCCCGTCCTGCTAGTAGGCTGGGTGGGGGGTGACTAGACATTCCTCAGGTTGGGCAGTCTTAATTTCTGCCTCCAGAGAAATCTTCAGGATGCTTCTTGGGATTAAAGAATTGAAAATCCTAGAAAAATCTTGTGAGTTAAGAATTAGCTGCCCCAACAGTTAGTGTCTTTTATTTTTTCCCCAGTATTGGGAATTGAGTCCAGGGCATTCACACAGGGCTACATCCCTATCCTTTTTCAAATTTTGAGAGAGGGTCTCGCTAAATCACTGAGTTGCTCAGGTTGGGTTTGAACTTGCAGTCCTCCTGCCTCAGCCTTCTAGAGTGCTGGGATTACAGGTGTGGGCCACCAGGCCCAGGTTGGTGTGAATCTTGACACAGCGTTCTGAGCCAGGCTCCAGACAGAGAGGAGATGCTGGAGGCAGACAGTGATTCTGTTCAGGTTGCTCCTTATTATTTTAAAGCTGCCTTTTTTCTTGCAGGGTGGGGAGAAGCAGCGAGTCTTCACTGGGATTGTTACCAGCTTGCATGACTACTTTGGAGTGGTGGACGAGGAGGTCTTTTTTCAGCTAAGGTAGACTTGAAACGAGTCCCCTCCTGGAAATGCTGCTTGAATTCGCTTCTGTCACCGCGCTGGTGGGGCCCGCCTCTCTCGAGCCATTGCTTTGCTGTGTTTATGCAATGTGTGAGGAATCTGAACGGCCATGGGCCAGTCAGGGTGGCTCGGCCAGGGTCCTTCCTGATGGGGTCTCCTGCTTGTGTGCTGGTAGTGTGGTGAAGGGCCGACTGCCCCAGCTGGGTGAGAAGGTGCTGGTGAAGGCTGCGTACAACCCAGGCCAGGCTGTGCCCTGGAATGCTGTCAAGGTGCAAACGCTCTCCAACCAGGTACTCATCTGCATGTACATGTGCCCTGGAGGGGGAGAGGGAGGCAAGCCTCTGTGCCCTGATAGCCGGGCAAGAACCTTATTTTTGTCAAGGGGGCGGGACTGCATCTTTCCAAGGTATTAAATGTGTCAACTTTGGGATGCCCTGAATTTCCTGGCAACTGTCCCGCAGCCCCTACTGAAGTCCCCAGCACCTCCCCTTCTGCATGTGGCAGCTCTGGGCCAGAAGCAAGGGATCCTGGGAGCTCAGCCCCAGTTAATCTTCCAGCCTCACCGGATTCCCCCACTCTTTCCTCAGAAGCGTGAGTACCAGTGGCGTGGATGGATGTTGGGGTGTGGCTGTGCGGAGTGCTCTGGATGAGTGACTTGTAACTTTCAGGCCGCTGCTCTCAGGATAGACGTGGGTACTCCTGCACCCTGGAAGGAAGGGAGGGGGAAGCTGGTTTTCAGGGTGTTTGAGTCACGGCGTTTCTTCTCTGTAGCTCTGAGTCTCTTCCAGACCTCCCACACACTTCACCTGAGCCACCTGAACAGATTTCCTGCTCGGGGCCCTCACGGACGGCTGGACCAGGGCCGAAGGTAAGAGGAAGATCAGGCGGGAACAGATGTTTTATTTCGTTTCCTTCGGGTGTAGTGCCCCTTTTTTTTTGGCCACGTGTTGATAACTAATATTCTCTTCCTGCAGCTGGATCCCAGTCCCTTTCTTGTGAAACAGGCAGACACATTGACATGTATATGCAAATCTTAGACCCTTATACACTGGCTCAGCAGAGTAGGGATTTGGTATGGGTCAGCTTTCAGAATGTCATATTAGATACTTTTTAGACACATAACATCCCTTTTATTTCTAGTTCCTAAGACTGAAACTACAAGAATTGTTTCAAGAACATAGTAACATGTCAGAAAAAGTAACATTATAGTGAATGTTTTAATTCCTCCTTTAAAGTGATTCTTTATATGTGCCATTTACTTAAGTGCCCTGTTAAAATATTGCTACTTCCCACTCCTGGAGGAGCAGGCAGCAGGCTTTCTTGGCTAGAGGTAGAGCAAGTGCGGTTGACTTCAGCCCGGGGAGATCCTGGTGGTCCTTCGTCATCTGTGAGCTTTGGTGACTGCCCGGCGTGTGCCGTCTGTCTCCAGTGCACGTGTCCCTTATCCTACCTTACTCTCCCGGAAGTTTTGCTTATCATTATTTTATGAGTCACAGGTGCTTTACCACTGAGCTCCACGCCCAGCCCTTACTTTCATTTTTTATTTTGAGACAGGGTCTTGCTAAGTTGTCCAGGCAAGCCTCTAACTTGAGGTCCTCTGGCTTTCAGGCGCCTGAGTAGCTGGGATCACAGGTGTGTGCCCCTGTGTCCAGCTTGCTGAACTTTTCATAATGAAAAATTTCAATGTATGCAAAACAAATGGAAAGATACAGTAACCTTCTTGTATCTCTTTATCCAGCTTCAGCAAATGTCATCATCTGCTTTTTTTTTCACCTCTTCCTCCATCTACTCACTGCCTCCTACTTGATTTATTTTTTAAGGTGGAGTTTGTGTAGTGAAAAGTGCAAAGTTTACCTGGCCAATTTTGGTAAATGGAAAAATCCCCTGTAATCTTCTCTCAAGAAAGATCACTCTAGAAAGTTCCCTCATGTAGTTCTCTTTTGAAGTTTGAAATGTGCAGGAAGGGAACATGCCTTCTCGCAGATGCCAGTAGATGATTACACGGTAAGAGCAAGCAACACAGCCCAGTGTAAACACTTCCAAGAGCACGTGTGGCTCAGAGAAGTTGAGGCAGAGTGAGATAGCCAGTGCCTGTGTGGAAGTGGGCGCCTGCTGCCTTGGATAGGTCATTGTGATTTGAAGCAGGAGGCGGCTCTGGGATTGTGCTCCGTGCCGTCTCCACCACTGACACCCTCCGGCCTGCTCCAGTCTCTGGGAACACACCACACCTCCTGTCCTGTGCATCTGCTGGTCTTCATTTCCAAAGACCTCCCCGCTGCCTTTCTGTGAGCCAGTGCAAGCCTTCCTTAGTGTGGCCACGGTACAAATCAGCGACCGCTGGGGACTTGGTGTGTTTGGTTCCCATTTGAGCTTTCTGTAGTCAGTTGCACTGGATCGTCCTGGGTGTGCCAGCTCCTGTGATGGCACCAATTCGGGTCAGGGTGCTTCGGTGGCAGAGCTGCTGGAGGAAGGAGGGAGGGAGGGAGATGGGACCACCAGTCAGCAGCAAGAGTGTGGGAGGAGGAAGAGGGCTGGTAGGAATTAGGTCACGCTGGCGAATGACATGAGTTTGTAAAGCACTTGGCCACGTTTTGTGTGGAACCCTAGTGTCGAGTCCCAGTCTTTGGGATACAGGGAACTGTGTCCCCATTGGCCTGCACAAGCTGAGCAACTGAGGGCTTTAGACTGGCTGGCCTCTGCTGTGGCTGCTGACGTGTCTTCCACCAGCTCCCCTTAAGACCTGCTCCCGATGATTCCCAGCGAGGGCAGAAGGCCAGCTGCCAAGTCCACGGGACCAGTGGGCACACAGTTTAGCTAGAGGCGCACAGTGCTTACTGAAGAGCTCACCGAGCCCCGGTGAGCTGAAGAGGGCTGTTGGAACAAGTTGGAAAGGCTCTGCCATTAGAATCCCGGAAGCACGTGTCCCAAAAGGGTGAGAGGTGGGAGATGGAGGTGCTCATGAACCGGACAGAACGAAGCCTCACAGCTTAGTTACCAGGCTGTGGCCTGTGGAATCAGCTCAGTTATCTGGGCATTGAGAATTGCCAGTTTGTTTTCTGTCTCTTGTGACAGGGATTTATCCCTTACTGGTGTAGCATTTTAGTTTATTTTTTGTGGTGCTGGGGATCAAACCCAGGGCCTTGTACAAGCTAGGCAAGCATTCTGCCACAGCTGTGTCCGCAATCTGGCATTTTATAGGGAAGAGTGCAAAGATTTTCCGCCACTATTTTTATTGCACCCCCTATATTAAGTGATTATGCAGATGTGTAAAGTCACACCATAATAAGAGATCCTATAATAAGTGATTACAAAAATGTATAAAGTAACACATGTAATATTATTATATGAAAATAATATTAAAAGGTAGTGTTCTCACCTCCTTCCCTTTAATAATGCTATTAACATGTAGCTATTAAAGAACTTTGGAAAACAATTTTGAAAAGGAAAATCACTGCCACTTTTTTCTCCTGTGAGCTTTTCTAGTTTTTAATCTGTACATGTACATTACTTTTTACAATTTTAATCTGAGTGCAGATTATGTTTGTGATTCTTAAGCACCTTTTCCATATTGCAGCATAATCCTCATGATTGTTCAGTGGTGGTGGGGTTATTTATTTATTTATTCATTTTTGGGTAATGGAAAGTGAACTCAGGACCTTGCGCTTGCCAGGCAGGAGCTTATGCCGCTGAGCTATATCCCCAGCCGCTGAGCTATATCCCTGGCCCCTGGTGGGGTTATTGTGTTTACATTCTATAAAAATTCAAGTGTTGATGGATATGTGTGTTTACTCCCAGTTTATGTTGCTATTTTCTCACTACATATAATCTTCTTTCTTGTTTTGAATTAACTCCCTTGAGATAGATTTTTCAAGAGTGAAATTAGTGGAGTAAAGAGTTTTAGTGTTTTTATGACTAATACGTACTGGTCAGGTTTATTAGCACAAACTGTCTTTTAATGACAGATTTATTTTCCAGAATCCATAACAAGCATACATGCATCTCTTGTTAAAAAAATTCAGCTCTCTTTTTCCTTTAAACAATTACATGGTGGGCCAGGGATATTGCTCAGTGGCGTAAGCTCCTGCCTGTCGAGCGCAAGGTCCGGAGTTTGATTCCCGGTTCCAAAAAAAAATTACATGTTAACTATAATTTGTGAAGTTCAAAAAATATGAGGGAGGGAAAATTATTCACAAGCTTGTCAGTCAAAGGTGGCCACCTTCAGTATTTTAGGGCTCTTGGGGGGCATAGTTGAAATGTGCCGTATATATATCATGCTTTTTGCTTAACATACAGATTTTTCTATGGTAGTAAGAAGCTTTAAATATCTGTGTTTAGAAAATATCCATTTTAATATCATTTTAACATTCTGTCATGTGGCTGTTAGCATGCTTGCTTGCTTTTTTCCCTTCTCTCTCTCTCCTGCTGTCCCCACAGACAGAGTCTCGGTATGTAGTTCAGGCTGCTGTGTAGCCCAGGCTGGCCTCGAACTCCCAGCAATCCTTCTGCCTCAGCCTTCTGAGAGTTGGGATTACAGGCGTGCACCACCATGCCTGGTTACCCATTTTTTCGTGTTGGGGATTCAGGTTGTTTCCAGCTCTTTGTTTTAGCCCCATTTTATTGAACGCATGTGTGACAGTACGGTTTCTTTCTTCCGGTGATGGCTCCACCTCCAGTGACGACTATGACTCCAAGAAACGCAAGCAGCGGGCTGGTGGAGAGCCTTGGGGTGCTAAGAAGCCAAGGCATGACCTGCCTCCTTACCGGGTCCATCTCACGCCCTACACCGTGGACAGGTGCGTGTCAGGCTGAGGAGGCGGGCACTTGCCTCAAGAATCTAGGGTGATGGAGATAGGGTCTATGCAAGTGCATGTACGTTCTGGCAGCTTTTAAAATTGTTTTTATTTTTATTTTTTTGGTCTTTTTGAGATAGGGTCTCACTATGCAGTTCAGGCTGGCCTCCAGCTCACAACAATTCTCCTGCCTCAGCTTCCCGAGTGCTGGGATTAAAGGTGTGCGCCGCCACACCTGGCCAGCTTTTATTTTTTTAAACCAACCAATAGAATCCTATTGTACATCCTGTTTGGTTCTTTTATCTTAGAACTTATTCTCTATTAACATTTATTAATCTCATTCTTTCAGCACTTGTACCTCTCCATTGAATGAATGAAGTGTAATTTGTTTAAGCAGCTCTCCACTTGCAATAGATTTATTTTCAATGTTGTAATAAACATCCTTCCCCATACATCAAGGTGCATAGGGATGCAAGTGTCTTACTGGAACGGAGTAGCTGGTTCACAGTGTTTCATTTTATTTTATTTAATTAATTAATTATTTTTGGTACTGGCAATTGAACTCAGGACCTCATACTTGCTGGGCATGCGCTGTGCCACTGAGCTATATCTCTGGCCCCTATTTTTTTTTTTTTTTGCACAGTGTTTTATTTTAAACTGCTATCTTCTGCTAGTATCTGAAAGACGCTGTCTTCGTTCACACTCTGGCCAGAGGCCCTCAAGGGCTTGCTTCCTGAGACCTTTGCCAACGGTCTTGTTCACCTTTTTCATCTTTGCATCTAACTGGTGAAAAATGTTATTCCGATTTGCATCTTTATTTTATTTATTTATTTATTTATTTTTATGTTTTGGAGTCAAGGGCTCACTGTGTAGTTCAGGCTGGCCTTGAACTCATGTAGCCCAGGGTGACCTCAAACTTGCAGTGGTCCTTCTGCCTCAGCCTAGGATTACAGGCATAGGCCACCATGCCCAGCCTTAATTTTTTGTTTGTTTGTTTTGCTTTGTTTTGTTTTTTGAGACCAGGGTATCACTGTATAGTTCAGGCTGGACTTGAACTCACTATGGAGCCCAGGCTGGCCTCAAACTCATGGTAATCCTCCTGTCTTAGCCTCCTGAGTGCTGGCCCTACAGGCGTACGCCACCACGCCTGGCTGCGTCTTTAATTATACATTTCACAAGCTTTTTAAGTCTTTCTTTTTCTATTACATACCTGTCGATGTCAATATTCCCAGTTTTCTCTTAGGTGCTTGTACTTTTTCTTACTGCTTGTGAGTTCCTTTGCAGTAAGAAACAACCGTTTCTCTGTTTTGTAATGCAGGTGCTTCTTTCCTTTCCCAGTGTGACTTTGTTTGCCATAAGGAGGTTGTGTATCAGTGGTGCCAGATCCACTGTTACCTTCACAAGGTGTTTTACTTAGAAAGTCCTTATTTTCCAAACTGAAAAATAAATTGTTCATTCTTGTAGTCTTTTACCGTATTGTTTTTCCCCGGTGGTACTGGGGATTGAATCCAGAGCCTTGTTCATGCTAGGCAAGCGCTCTGTCACTGAGCTAGAGCCCCAGCTGTTTGTGACATTTTATTTTGGACAGGGTTTTGCTATTTGCCTAGGTTACCCTTGAAATTGTGATCCACCTCCCTTAGCCTCCCAAGTAGCTGGGGTTGTCCCCGGCATGTGCTGTTATATCTGCCTTTGGTTTTAGTTCTTAGTGTTTTATTCAGTGTGGGTCCCTCTGCCGTCTTCCTCCAGCCCCACCTGTGACTTCCTAGAACTGCAGCGTCGTTACCGCAGCCTGCTGGTCCCCTCGGATTTTCTGTCTGTGCATCTGAGCTGGCTGGCGGCCTTCCCCCTGAGCCAGCCCTTCTCCCTCCACCATCCCAGCCGGATCCAGGTCTCTTCAGAGAAGGAGGTGGCTCCAGACACTGGTGCTGAGCCCAGCCCCGCGGACAGTGACCCTACTTACAGTTCCAAGGTCGGTTGCTGGGGCTTCTGTTGGTTTGTCACCGTGCCAGAGGCAGGAGGTAGCTCTGAGCGGGTCTCGTCCTCTCTGCGCAGGTCCTGCTGCTCTCCTCCCCTGGCCTGGAGGAACTGTATCGCTGCTGCATGCTCTTTGTGGACGACATGGCTGAGCCCAGGGAGACGCCAGAGCATCCTCTGAAGCAGATGAAGGTGAGAGTTGGGTGCAGGAGGCCCAGTGCGGGCCCCGGTGCCTACTGTGTTTCCAGTGGTGTGTAGCACGCCCGTGTCGGAGTTAGGTGGCTGCCTTGTGCTGGCGGACAGCGAGCCCTGGGTGTGGTCTTTACTGCTTCCTGCAGCCCTCGGTCTTGATGGGTGGTAGTCCTGTCTCACTATAGGGACCGCAGGCAATGTAGGTTTCTTTCACCCTCAATCTCTTTGCAGTTTTTGCTGGGCCGGAAAGAAGATGAGGCAGTACTGGTTGGGGGGGAGTGGTCTCCTTCCCTGGATGGCCTCGACCCCCAGGCTGACCCACAGGTGCTGGTGCGCACGGCTATCCGCTGTGCCCAGGCCCAGACTGGCATTGACTTGAGCACCTGTACCAAGTGGTGAGTGGCTTCCCCGCGTGTGGCCAGCTTGCTCCAGCCGCATCTGTTCGGAAGGCCCAGCTGACGCCCTCCGCCCCGCCGACTCCTGGGCCCGCTCACAGCTTGTGCCTGCTCCCGGCCCCCTGCTGCTCACAGGTGGTGCTGGGTCCTGAGCATGGCGGGGCCTTGGGGTGCTGAGTGAGGTTGCCTCAGCACAGAGTAAGTAAGCCGTCTGCTTCTGCGCCTCCCATGGCCTGTCAGTACCTGAGGACTTTGTACCTCTGTGTGCGCCCTTCACACTGGGCACGCGGTGCACTCGCTCGGCGCAGACTGGAAACGAACGCACTTATCTCTGAGCGCGCTGTCAGTAGGAATGAAGCTGACGGCTACCTCTTTCTCTGTACCATGAACAGGTGGCGCTTTGCCGAGTTTCAGTACCTGCACCCGGGACCGCCCCGGCGGCTGCACACGGTGGTAGTGTACCTGCCGGACATTTGGACCATCATGCCCACTCTGGAGGAGTGGGATGCCCTGTGCCAGCAGAAGGCTGCCGAGGCAGCTCCCCCACTGCAGGAGGCAGCAGGGGTAAGCGAGCCTTAGGATGACAGGGAACGCAGGTCCCTGACCCAGCACTGGAGGGTCACATCTTGGCTGTTGTCCCAGGAAGCAGAGCCCGCTGAACAGGCCGCTGACGTGTCCACGGAGCCAGCAGCAGACCCTTCTAAACAGAACGCCGAGCTGCCCGAGGGCACTGCGCAGCAGGAGATGGACACTGACCTCCCAGAGGCCCCCCCGCCCCCTCTAGAGCCCGCTGTGATGGCGCGTCCCGGCTGTGTCAACCTGTCCCTCCATGTGATCGTGGAGGATCGGAGGCCGAAAGAAAGGATCTCTTTTGAGGCAGGTGGAGGAGTCTTGAGGCGGCCGTGGATGGGATGTGGAGCGCGGCCTGCTTCCTCCTCCCCGGCGCTCATGGGCTCTTGCTGCCCATTCCAACAGGTGATGGTGTTGGCTGAGCTCTTTCTGGAGATGCTGCAGAGGGATTTTGGCTATAGGATTTATAAGATGCTGCTGAGCCTTCCTGAAAAGGTCGTGTCTCCCCCTGAACCCGAGAAGGAGGAGGCAGCCAAGGAAGAAGCTGCTAAAGAGGAGGAAGCGATCAAAGAGGAGGTGGCCAAGGAGTCCAAGGATGAGGTACAGAATGAGGGCACAGCTGCTGAGTCAGACCCCCCGCTGGTGAGTACCTGGCAGCCTGGGGCTGGCCTGAGGACCGCGTAATCGAGCCTAACACCCTGAGTCCCCGCTGGTGCCAGGCACTGTCTGTCCCGCATACGCTGCGCAGCCTGTCTTCCGCTCCCTGCCTCACTGCCTGCTTCTCCCAAGCCTGGGATAGACTGAAGCCTGGGTACTGAATCTCCTGCATGTGGCCACATACCCGGAAATGGCACACCTGGGGCAAGGGAGGTGGCACAGAGGGGACGGAGGCATGGCCAAGCCGTTGAAGCACAGACGTCCCTGTCAGTAAGAATGCTGGGAGGAGGAGAGGGGTTTGGACTGCCTGGTGGTTAACTAGACAAATTGTGTTGCTATTTCTAAAGTATGAATCTATTCCTCGCCCAGGTACAGTTTCTTGTGGGCCTGGGATTGCCTCCCAAGGAGAGGCCCAGATGTCTCCAAGTGCCTGTGGTGTGCGCCAACTCTCACGTGCTTAAAGTAGCCCACCAAGCCCCTAGCCCAGTGCCTGGCACACAGCTGGTCCTTAGGTGTTGGCCAATATTGTTCGTACGCTGGGAACCCCATTCTTTCCCCTCATCTCCTTGTTCTGCTTTCTTAGAAAGAGGATGGGCTTTTGCCCAAACCGCCCTCTTCTGGCAGTGAGGAGGAGGAGAAGCCCCGGGGTGAGGCGGCTGAGGAGCTGTGTGAGATGGCCCTGGACCCGGACCTGCTGCTTCTGAGGGATGATGGAGAGGAGGAGTTCGGTATGTCCGGGGTGAGGGGCCGCTGGTCCTGGGTGGCTCTCTGGGTCTGGCTGGCCTGGTTTTCTCTGGGGGCTGAGGAGCAAGGATGGGTGCCTGGGGCCCCACTCCACATTAAGCTCCGGCTTTCTGTAGCAGGAGCCAAGCTGGAAGACTCGGAGGTCCGGTCTGTTGCCTCAAACCAGTCGGAGATGGAATTCTCCTCCCTCCAGGACATGGTGAGACGTCTTCTTGTGGTGTGAGGCTTGGTGAGGCCTCTGACTCCCGCCTGGAGCAGAACACCTACCAGAGATTTCTTCCACCAATAGGCGAATCTTGGCTTGCAAAGGCGGTTCTTGGCCTATAGAAAACATTTTACTCCAAGGCGTGGATCAAACAGCAGGGACTTTTTTTTCTTTATTTTTGAGACAGGGTCTCGCTATGCAGTTCAGGCTGGCCTTGAGCTCACTTTGTAGCCCAGGCTGGCCTTGAACTTGCAGCGATCCTCCTGCCTCAGCCTCCCAAGTGCTGGGATTACAGGCGTGCACGACTGTGCCTGACAAAACAGTAGGGTCTTTTGGGAAGGCTCCCCAAGAGGCTTGTGCCCCATTTGCGCCTCCAGCTTCGAGGCCTCCTAAATGCTGCTGGCTGAGCTGCTCGCTGTAAAGGGGCCGTGTCCTGCACCATGTAGCCACTGAGCACCACTGTAAAGCTGTTCATGTTTCCTTCGCAGCCCAAAGAGCTGGACCCCTCTGCCGTGCTCCCCTTGGACTGCCTTCTGGCTTTCGTGTTCTTCGATGCCAACTGGTGTGGCTACCTGCACCGGCGGGACTTGGAGCGGGTCCTCCTCACGCTGGGCATCCGACTCAGCGCAGAGCAGGTTGCCCCCCTTTTGTCTTCTTGGAGGCCTCCCTAAGTCCACAGGCCTGGCCCTCCCCAGCCAGGTTTTGCTCCTTCTGACCAGCAGGTGGCGGCTGTGTTTTCTGTAGGCCAAGCAGCTGGTTAGCAGGGTGGTGACGCAGAACATTTGTCAGTATCGGAGCTTGCAGTACAGCCGCCCGGAGACGGTGGACGGCGGACTTCCAGAGGAGGTGCTGTTCGGTATGTCCGCCTGCACCGCATGGCCTGTGGGGCTTGGGCGGGCGGGGCAGGCTGCTTTCTCCTGGAGATGGCTCCTGATGTTCTTAAACGGCGCTTGTAGGAAATCTGGACCTGCTGCCTCCTTCTGGGAAGAGCGCAAAGCCAGGTGCTGCTCCCACGGAGCACAAGGGCCTGGTGCCCCACAACGGCAGCCTGATCAACGTGGGGAGCCTGCTGCAGCGCGCAGAGCAGCAGGACAGTGGGCGGCTCTACCTGGAGAACAAGATTCACACACTGGAACTGAAGCTGGGTGAGTGGCTGCGGCTGTAGGGTGCTCACCAGGGGACAGAGTGCAGCGTGTCGGGGCGAGGTCGAGGGCGCTGCTCGGTAGGGCCAGGCCCTTGTCTGGGCTCCCGTCCTTGCCTGAGCTTTCTGGTTTGTCTCTCCCTGCACAGAGGAGAGCCATAACCGTTTCTCAGCCACTGAAGTGACAAACAAGACACTGGCCGCAGAGATGCAGGAGCTGCGGGCGCGGCTGACAGAGGCTGAGGATGCAGCCCGGATGGCCGAGCGGCAGAAGGGCCAGCTGCAGCGCCTGCTGCAGGAGTTCCGCAGGCGCCTGGGCCCCCTGCAGCTGGAGGTGCAGCGCATGGTGGAGAAGGTGAGGGGCGATGGCGTGAGGGGCGCTGTAGCCTTTTGGGGAGAGCTCTCTGTCCCTGGGGAGTGGCCTTGCGGTGACAGCCAGCACGCGAGCTCCTTTCTCTCCTGCCCAGGTCCTCAGCCACTAGTTTTTAGGGAAGTCGGCAGGAGGCAGCACCCTCTGATGTCACCCTCGTAACCTTGTCCTGTCTGCTCGCACAGGCCGACAGCTGGGTGGACAAGGAGGAGCCGGCGCCTAGCAACTGAGGGGCCTCGCTGGAGTGCGTTTGAGGTCAGCGATGGAGCCCGAAGACGTTAGAGCCCTTTTGGTACCAGAAAGCAGCTGGAGCAGGGCCTGGGAGCCATAGGCAGGGTGGCTGAGCCCTGTGTGCAGCCTCTGCAGGGGACGCCAAGCCATCAGGGTGGGGTCTGTGCTATGTGGATGGATGTGTGAAGAACCCCAGTTCCAGCTACAACTAAATACAACATCTTTTGCACCCCTAGAATGTCATTTTGCCCTCAACCTTGGAATTTCTCCCAGGGCCCTTGTAGTCTCGTGCTGTCTCCTGTCCTCTTCCAGTTTTGAGTAAGACGGGAGGAAAAGGCTTTTCAAGCCCATGACAAGGTCTGATGAAGGGACAGATATGGAGTCTGGCGGGGGCCAAGAAACCCCTTTCTCTGGACGGCACAAACCCTGTAGGTTCCAGGCACAGCTCCTGGGGCGCTGTGTGGCCGTCGTGGAATGGAGCCTGTGCTAGGAGGAGGCCCTCGGTGTGGGGCTGCGGTTGCCAGTAGAACACTGTGTTCCAGCCACCCTAGACTCGCCAGAAGAAACCAGCACCCTCCCCGGCCCTGTGTTCAGAATGTGGTATTGGCTCTGGCCCAGCCTCTTCCCTGTTACCCATAATCCCCGCCTTTTTCCATAATCCATGGTTTCAGTTTGACTTTGTATATAAAGTTGGTTTTTTTTTTTTTTTTTTTTTTTTTTTTTTGGCTTTTTGTTTTTTAAATAAACCAAAGTCAAAAACAAATCAAGTGCGTAGCTCTTCCCCGCTGCTTCTTCGGGGCTGTCTGGTGCTGGCCGCAGCCTAAGGCTCTATTGGTCGCATGCAGCCCGCGATGGGAGGTGGGTGGGCGCGGAAACATGGGCCTTGGTGCCCTGGGCCGTTGCTCACAGGAGCCTGGCCCAGGCCCTCTGCTGAGGGGAGGACCTGGAGAAGCTGTGACAGTACTTCCTGCTCTGGACGGTACAGCACCACACTAGGTGATGTTTTATTGGAAACTTTACTTGGAAAAATAAAATTCCAAATACATATCCTGGTGCGACATAAACTCAACGTGCTGACTCAGGCCTGTGGCTCAACATGACATTCCGTGCAGTGGGAGTTATGGCCCCAGATTCCCAGAAGACCTGGGGCCTACCCCTGATGCCTACACCTGAGCAGCTTTCACCATGCTGGAGTGAGGGGACTGCGACCTCCCCATCCCCCAGGGTAGCGAGCCACGCCTTTGGGGTGAAGAGCAGCAATGGGGCGGATGCCCCCACGGGTCCTCTGGAGGTAGATGCAGTCCCTGCTGTGCGGGCTGAGCTAATGAAGGGGCTGAAGCCTGCGCTGGCCCGGGCCAGGGTGTGCTCTGGACGGTTCTGGAAGTGAAAAAGCCTCTGGGGTTTTTCCACACTGCCTACCTATACCTGAGGCTGTGGGTAGGGACAGAGCCTGCTAGGGGCGTCTGGTGTCAGGCTCCAGGCACTGAAGGCACTCAGGTTAAAGGGCTGGCAAAGCAGAGCAGGGGCCACCATGGGCGCCAGCCTGCCAGCACCTGCTAAGGGCAGAGGCTGCCTGTGTCCCAGGAGTCTGCGGGGGCCGAGCTCAGTCATCGGCCACGATGGAGAGGGCTCGGAGCTCGCTCAGCTTGGCCTCGTTCTCCCGCTCTCGCTGCTCGTCCGAGTAGCCCGGCTGGTCAAGCTGCTGGGTCAGGTCTCCGAAGATCTTGTGCATTTCTGAGTAGTACACCACCTGGCGGGAGGCAGGCACTGTTGGCAAGGGCCAGTCCTGGGGACACCCAGTGCCCACGCCCGGCATCCCCAGGCCCGCGGGCAGCTGCCCACCACCTGAGGGGGATGCCCTATTCTGCCCTGTTCTCCACCCTCATGTCTCTCAGCTGCCCGACGGGAAGAGCCGGGTGTCCACCGTGCTGTGCAGAAAGGCTCTGGTGCAGCCAGGGGCGGGGGGCTGGGAGGGGCTTGGGCGGGGCTAGGGGTCGGGGACCGCTTCCCCGGCAGTGGTGTGTGGCAGGCACCCTATGCTTTTGGATGGCGACAGAACACAGCAAGGCCACACCCAGGCCCGGGACGGGCTGGCTGTTACAGGCAGTGTGCCTTGGGCTTCCCTGGGACTTCTAAGCCACATGAGAAGCCAAGGGTTTCCGTCCACAGGAGAGACATGGCAGGTGGTGACCGTCAGAGCCCTGAGAGCCAGTTCTGAAGCAAAGGCAAGAGGTAACACCTTTCCACTCCCCCCATCCCCGCTGTCCCTGGCTTGGACTTTACAGCCAAGGGAGCAGCTCTAAGGCCTGGCTCACGTCCACGGCCCTTCCGTGCTGGCCCCAGCAGCAGGGTCCAGGGGACACAGGGATGCGAGGCTGGGGCAGGTGCAGGAGTCGGCGAGACAGCAGCTTGGGGAAGAGGCAGGGGCCGTTTCTGCCTCAGTGTCCATCTCTTGGCCATGCAGGCATCTGCTCCTGTCAAGTCTCAGCCAGGGCAGTCGCGAAGAGAGGGACTCCTGTTCCGCTCAGGAGTGTGGGACGGTCCTGGGCAGGTGGCACGGGTAGGGCCAGGCCTGACTCCCAGGAAGCCTCCGCACTGCAGCTGGTCCCAGCGGGCTGAGGGTAGCCCAATCAGGACAGTCCCCATTGACCTCTGTCACCTCCGGAGCCGGGAGCCTGGGTGAGCGCTGCAGAGAGGTGTGTGGAGGGGAGGCCCCCAACCCTTGCCCTGGCCTCGCTGCTTGGTGCGTCACCAGGAATGCTCACTTACCCAGCGACTCATGGCAGCGGCGGTCGGGTGAGGAGGAGGCAGTAAACGGCCCTGGCTACCCTGCTGCTTGGTGACGGGGTGTCCCCAGCCTCCCAGGGCTCCAGCCTGGGCCCCCTGCAGCCTCTTCCTGGGAGTTGCAGGAGGGATGGTGGGCACAGGGCAGTGCGGGGGTCACTGGGGCCGCGGTGGGGGCGGTGATGCAAAGCAGAGGGAAGGCAGGGGTCTCCCGCTGAAGCCCCCTCCTCTGCTGCAGAGGGTGTGGCTGCTGGAAGGTCACCCTCCTCTCAGGGCAGGCGAGGAAAGAACCCCTCTGCCTCCTCTTGGTAGCTCTGACTTGCTGCCCGCTGGAGACAACACTGGACCGACAACTCGGGTCACTAGCAAGTCCCAGCTCTGGCGTAAGTCCTGCTCCGGTGTCCTGATGCCAAGCTCCCACCCTGGGCTGGGGTGACCCTCCAAGCTGCCGGCGGGGAGGTGGGAGGGGCTCAGTGACGGGGGGACTGCGATGAGCGATGATGCCCACTGGAGGGCGCCAGACACCCAGGCAAGAACAAGAAGGCAGCTGTGGGTAGGGGCAGGAAGCCTCCACTCCATGACTCGGGGTCAGAGGTGGACAGGGCGTTCAGGTCCGAAGGCCGATGCTGGCATCTGTGGTCAGCAGGGCCTACGTGGACATGCCCTGCTCCTGGCTCTGGCACCTGACCCTTCTATCTTGCCTGTAGGAGAATCATTCTATGGAAGGCCTGGCAACAAGTGAGCAGGGTTGGGGAAGAGCACCACCCACTCTATCCTTACACCCCTGGAGCAGGAGCCAAGGGCTCTGGCTGTGCCCTCTTCCCACTTCCTGGCCCAAGTGCACAGCTGGGCAGTACCCCATACCTCTGCACCCAGCCTGCCCTGCACTGGGGGCACGGCGTGCCCAGCGCCCTAGGCAGCAGCTGAGCAGGGCACCCCCACCCCCTGAAAAGTTCACGGTCAAGAGCCCTGAGGTCTCTAGTAAAGGACTAATGGTGGGGTAACGCTCAGAAGAAGGCCCCCACTCCAGAGGCTCTGTACCCCTCGTTCTCCTGGCCCAGGACAAAGAACCTGCTCAGCCACAGTGGCAGCTGAAGGTGTCGCTTGCTTTCTTCTTGTGGGTTACAGTACATGTGAGAGGAAGGACTCAAGGAAAGAAGAGTTGGAAAAAGGAGCCTTACCCATTCTAGGGCTGGGACTGACTCCAGAGCAACAGAGGAAGCCAGACAGAAATCCCAGCCCTGCGGCCGGAGCCAGGATCCCGGCCCTGACTGATCCCTGGGCCGAGCAAAGACTGGGGGCCTCACCTGTGCTCGGATCAGGGACTCGAAGCTGGGCTGGAAGTAGTCAAGGCGGCTGGCGTAGAACCGCGGCATTTCGTCCAAGAGCTGCTTGTTCTTGGCCTCAAAGTCCTCCCGCACGGGTCGCAGCTCTTCTCGGGCCTAAAGGTGGGAGCCTGGTGTCAGGACACAGGTGTACGAGTGGGAGTGGGGCGGCTCGGGTCTTGGGCCCTGCTGGTCCCCGGGTGAAGGGTGGAGCTTGCTGCACGGCCCTTCCTTCCACCCGCCCCCCTTCTGCCGACCACCTGCCGCCCCCCTACCCCTAGCACCTGGTGGAGCTTGGCCAGCACGGGCCCGGTCTTCTCCTTCTCCTCGTACTTCTCCACCTTGGCCTGCAGCCGCCGGTAGTCCTGCAGTGCCTGCTCCCGCCGCTTCACTGCCATGTTGAGGCTCGGGAACACACTGCCAAACCTGCGGGGCACAGCCTGGTTGGACGCAAGCCCGCTATTCCTTCAAGAGTACCTGTAGCAAGCCTACTAAGCGCCGGACCTCACTCCAGGCCTTGGGCTCACCAGGGCCAGGCAGATGAGGCCCTGGCACCCTGGAGCTCGTGCTGCTGGAACGCTACTGAACGGGAAGGTCAAGGGAGCACACAGGACTGGGCGCCACTCCACTGGGCCTGAGCAAACGTGAGGTAGACCGTAAGCGACGTCCCTTTTCCTGCTGCTGCCACCCTGCCATGCACAGGGACCTCACCACACTTCAGGAGAGCTCCAGGCGGGGAGATGACATGTGACTTGCCAGAAGGTCACAATCAGGCAGAGGCAGCTCAGAAGAGAACTCAGTGTCCAAGTTCCCTGGTACCCTTTCATTACCTCAATGTGCCACTGCCAGGTGACAGATCTGAAAGTGGAACTACTTCTGGCCAGGGTCACCTCTCCCTTCAAGGATGCTTTTGCACCATGCGAAAAGCAGAAATGCCCTCACCACTCAATTCTACCAGCACCGAAGGGCACACCCCACAGGTGTTTCCGGAAGACGACACAAGGCCTCCCCCTACCTCCATGACTGAAGAGGATCGCGATGGGAACTGGTAGGGGTGGACCCTTCGGAAAGAGCATCAGCACGGGTCCTGGGGCACAGCCAGCCTGACGAGCGCCTTTACTACAAGCGCCCATGGATCCGGGGCGGGGCGGGGCAGGGCTGTGCTCCCCCCGATCCAAGGCAGGGCAAGACGGGGCAATGCTGCGGTGGGCTTTCAGAGGAGGGATGTGGAGCAGCTTCCTGCAGTGTGAAGGCCCGAGGCGCGGCACACGGTCCCACTGCTGCAGGAGGCCCCGCCCCTATGCCAGGTGTCCACTGTGCCAGCTGGGAGCCCCGTGAGGCTGTGGCATGTGGTATGTGACACAGGAACCTGAGGACCTTGGTTACTCAGGGTGGAGAGGCAGAGTTGGTGACCCAGGACCACAAGAGCTGGATCCTTTTGGAGGAACCCAGAAGAGATGAAAGACCAAAGCAGGGACAAGTCCCGGGCTGGGGCTCCTCTTTTGGGCCCCCAGTTGGTGGCCAAGGAGTCACATGCCTCTGGAGCCCAGAGAGCATCTGGGAGCTGGGGGTCATCTTGTGGTAGACCCAACACTTTAGGAAGCACAGTTTCCCAAATCTGCCTTGCAAGGAACATGCTCGTGGATTTGGTATGTAAAGGCATGAAAAAGCCAGGCATAGTAGTGCACACCTGTGATCCCAATACTTGGGAAGCTGAGGCAGGAGGATTGCTGTGAGTTTGAGGCCAGCCTATACTACATAATGAACTCAAGGCCAGCCTGAATCTCAAGAGTGAGATCTTGTCTCAGATAAACAAAAACCAAAAAATGCCTCAACAAATCAAGAGAACACAAAAGATAAGAAGACAGAACTTTTTGGCAGAGAATAGAAAACGTAAACTTGATCAGGCATTAAATGCCCTGAACTAAGTTAGACCAAGGGAGCAGATTATGGAGGAACAGGGTTTATCCACAAAGGCCACCTGGGCTCCCCACCTAACTGAAAGTGCTAAGAAAGGGACAGACTGCCAGAACTCTGAGCCTCAGCCACATGCCGGTCTGCAGCGATCACAGCGATACTTGACTGATTTGCCAGGTAGCTGGAGGTCCACTGAGTGCCGTGTGAACCGGGGCGGCCCAGACAGCAGCACGTGTGTGTCTCACAGGCAGGTCTGCAGGGGCGAAACCCAGCAGCTGCCATTGCAGTTTCAGCTGCCAGGGTTGCTGCTTTCCCTTCCTGGGCAGCTGGGCAGCGTCTGGCTCAAGGCAGCAGGTGCACTTGGGCCTGAGAAGCCACCATGCTGCCCTCCCCTCCACTCCAAAGGGACAGGCGGTGTCCAGCAGCTGTCAGATCCTCTGTCAGAAGCAACCTGCTGCCCGGGTGGCCCCAGTGCCTGAGGACACCAGGTGGGGGTGGGGCGCAGGGGAGGCGTTTCCTTGCACGAGCGATAGTGCCACCACTTGGGGTCACCTCTGGGGACAAGGACCTCAAGGGGATGAGGTAGCGTGCGTGAGGTGCATTCCAAGTGCAGGAAGGGCCGTGTCACGCCGGAGGCCAGGCAGCCCTGGAGACCTGAGTGGCGTGGGCACCGTGGGTCACTGTCCCGGTCCCCTTCCCACAGCGCCATCTCCGCCTGCACCCAGCTCCAGCAGGGTGACCACGTGCAGGGATCCTGTCAGCCTTCAAAGAACACAGCACTGAGTGCCGGGGAAGCGTGGGTCTGGGGTGGTGACGGGCACAGCCTCGGGATGCGTGGCATCAAGCTGTACCTACAGGTCTACCTAGCAGCAGAGGTTCCCCCTCCACAGCCTCTGGAACCAAGAAACTCGCCCTCTGCAGAAGTGGATGCAGTGGCACCTGACCCTCATGTGGGAGACTCCTGTCCCCCACAGCAGTGTCAAACAGAGGCCTGCTCAGGCCACTGCAGGTGCTTGCTGATAAATGACCACCCGGGTGGCTTGGGGTCTGGGGCTGGGATTCTCTGGGGCAGAGAGGGTCAGTGTCACACCTGCCCGCATCCACAGGGCAGCCCTTGTGAGTCAGGGGACGAGTGTAGCCTAATCTAAGGTGGCTGGGGAAAGAGAGGCGACCAGGATGCCAGAGCTGCTCCTGCCCTCTGCCCCACAGAACCCCCACCTTCCCGTTTTCTTCTTCACAGCCAAGGACAGATCTTGGCAGCCCATGTGGTGGGCAGTGTGGACGGTGGTGCCTAATGGGGGGGTCTCGCAGCAGGACCCCCAGAGCTGCAGAGGGCCTGGCACAGACAGGCGGAGGCTGGTGCCCTGGGACTCCACAGAGGTATCTGCTGACCGCCCTGGGGAGGAGGTGGAGGGATCCTACCTGTCCCTCAGGCATGACACCTGCACTTTTACTGATCTGCCCCACAGAAGCCAGACCCTCTCTGTGTGGTCTCTATTGCCTCTCTATACTAGTGGTGCGAGATGGGATGCAGAAGTCCCTGGGCCAGGTCTCCGCTCACTCAGATCACACCTCCTGCCCGGCCTACCCAGACGTGCTGCTCTGCTCCTGAGCTCCGCCCTTTCAGAGAAGCAGACAGAGGCCCGGGGGTGGGGTGGAGTGGTGGTGGCTGGATATCCTTGCTGTTCACGGCACCGCACCCCTGCTGTCCTAGGGGCCCAGCATGGCTCGCGAGGTCGGATTAACACGTGTCCCCAAAGGAGACAGGGCAGGCAGGCCCCACCGCAGGCTCTCACCAGAGGCTGCTTGTTTCTTGCTCCACCCGGTTTCAGCACCAAGCTGGCTTCCCTGGGGAGGCGAAGTGTGGGATGGAGGGGAGCAGGGAGGGAACGAGGCCGGCTGGGAGGTGGGCTGGGAGCAGCCGGCCTGGTGGGGAATGCCTGCCATTCCTCATCTGAGCCCACGCAGCCGGGATCTTCCGCCCACCAGGAAAGGGAAATTGAAAGCATCCCCGTCCGACATGTGAACGGACCCAGGGGCTGGGGATTAGAGGCCAAGCCCCCTAGGGGGAAGGCTGGGGGTGGCAGGGTGACCATGTGGCCATGATCTTCATCAGAGGACAGGAAAGCTGCAGTTTCCTGTTTCCGGTGCTGGGGTCCCTGGGAGCATCTCTCCTGGCACGAGGCAGCGAGTAGGGAGGAGGCAGCGGGTAGTGGTGGTTTATGTGGTCAGGGGAGATCGCATGTCGGCTGCGGGATGCGGCAGGAGCCAGCCAGGGTGGTCAAGGGCTCATGCAGGGGTCAGCAGATCCGCTGCGGAGACGGCGGCCGCCCCCTCTGCCGTGCCCCCACCTTCCTGGCAGGTGGTGGGCTGCGAGCTGGTGGGAAGCAGCCGGGGTTTCTCTCCATGTGGCTGCCGAAGCCAGGGATCTGATTTCAAGGCCTCCTCGTTGGTTGTGAAATCAAGACAGCAGCCAACTCCCCAGTTTTCTGAGCCTGTTTTTCTGCCAGCCCTGGGAGCCCGCTGCTGCCTTGGGGACCCCTGAGGCCCTGACACACTGGGAGCTCTGTGGGCAGGGCCTGTTCTGCCTGTGCTTCTTTGGTTCAGAGCTGAACCTTAGTCCTGAAGGCCAGGCCTGAAAACCACCAGCAAGAGGCTCCTTCTGCACCAAGCTCCCCATGTGGCCCTGCGAAAAGGGGCTAGGCTATGACTGGGGCTCGGGGGCTGGAGGCGCCCACTCAGAGAGGAGGCTGGGGCAGCAGGGCAGGAGGAGGCCAGAGAAATGCTTTCTTGCACCAGGCTCGGCCTCCCAGCTTCATACTTCGGGCCTGGCCTGGGAAGAAGCGCTCTGAAGGTCAGGAGGGCTTTTCCCAACCCCTCTTCTTGGAGCCGAATAGGGAAGGAACAGCTCAACACTCCCCAACACCAGGGGCTGGAGGATCAAAAACTACTCTTTTCATCTCCCTCCAGGCCCTGATCCAGGCCTAATGATAATTAAGCAGAGTCTCATTACCCCAGGGCCTGGCAAGGCAACTGCCAGGGACCACCGCGGAAGAGGTAATAAAGCGCAGCTGCTGGGCTGCACCGGGAGCCTCTCAAGGCCGGCGCCCAGGGGAGAGGCTCGGGAGGAAGGATTCAGGAGCTTCAAGGCTTTGGCCTCCTCACCCTAGGGACCCAGGGAAGAGGCCTGTCTGATTGCTAACCGGGGCCTGCTGCTCTGAAAACGAGTCTTACAGATGAATTCCTGGCTGTCATGGGTCACGAGTGAGGGGACCCTTCCAGGCAGGACCCTGCTGCTGCGCCCTTCCCACCCCCACATTTCCAAAGCTGAGCGCTGCAGGCAGCTGTGCTCTGGTGCTGGCTGAGATGAAAGGCCTTGCTCTCGTCCGCTGAGGGCTCTGCTAGCTGAACTCAGCCAGCCTGGCCCCAACCATAAGCAAGGGCGGAAAGGGCCAAGTGGCCACCGGCACAGCGTCCGGCTCGACGGGGAGGTGTGCACTGCCTTGGGCATGGCTGGGTGCTGGCAGTGCTCTGTCTTGACCTGGAGCCACGGAGTGTATGGCTGGAGGCCCCACGGGACGCAGAGGCCAGGCTGCTAGGTAGGCTCCTCGGTCCCCAAGGCTCATCTACCTTTCCCACCAGTGCCCTGAGGCCTGTGTCCCCAGGTGACCTTACTTTTTCAAGGGTTCAATCACCGTCTTCTGGATCTGGTTCACCTGTCAAAAGAAAAAGCCAGTGACATCAAAACGGGGGGAGGGCGGGGGAGAGCCAGGTTCTTCCTACAGGGTGGGGCTCCGACTTCCTCCGAGGACAGACTGGTCAGGGATCCAAGACAGGCGGGGTGCATGGAGGCCTAGGGCCAGGCTCTGCCGTCCTCCACACCTGGGAGGCTGGGTGGGCAGAGCAGCCCTGCGAACATTCCCAGCCTCACAGGAGCCTCCGAGGGGCATGAAGTCCAGGCTGAGGGAGGTGCGATGCCCGAGGCCCAGAGGGGAAGGAGGTGGTGCCTGGATGCCGGAGGCCAAGACCTAGTCACCTTTTCCTGGTTGAAGGCATCCATCCGCTTCATAGCTGTGTCCAAGGCTGTCACCATGTTCAGAAAGTCCTGGTCTTGCTCACAGAGGGGGTTGGAGAGGAGGTCCAGGGAAATCTTCACTGCGGATTTCGACATGGCTGCAAGAAGCGAAGTGTGGTGAGCCTACAGAGGACAGGCTCAGTCTCTGCACCTCGGCCGCCCCGCAGTCCAGAGCCTGCATCCCACAACCTTGTCCCCTGCCTGCCATGGCTGGCACGGCTCCACATGGCACACGGTGCCGCCCTTAGGCCTGGATGTGCATTCCTGACCACAGCACCAAGCCAAGGAATTCTTTTAAGCAACTTTATGGACAGCAATGGCTTAGTACCTCTGACTCCAAAGATAAGATTCAACAAATACTGAACCTGAGAATATATGTATTTTTTAAAAAATTTTTTGAGACCGTATCTTGCTATGCAGTTCAGGCTGGTCCTCAACTCACTATTTAGCCCAGGCTGGCCTTGAACTCACAGCAATCCTCCTACCTCAGCTTCCTGAGTGCTGGGATTATAGGCATGAGCCACCACGCCTGGCCAAGAATATGCATTTTAAAAGCCTCTACAAGGTGGTGCTGGTGTGAGGCTCAGTCTAGGCCTCCCATGTACACGGGTAACAGTACCCCAGTTTGCACAGGGTGTAGTGCGCTTTGCGGGGTAAACACTTCAGGCCTCGTGAGCCACGTGGAAGCCTGAGGTCACGGGTAGCACGGGGGCAGGAGGGAGACCTGTCGCAGCTGAGGTGCTTGGTCCCACACTTGTTTTCAGGTTGGAATTATTTGCATAACAGAATTCTAGAGGTGGAGGCAGAGGGACTGGAGGTTGGGGGCTATCTGTACCACTTCTAGGGTGCTTCTGGCTGAGTCTTAGGGCAGAAGGCTTTTTCTTCCTTATTTTAAAAATAATAATTAGCAAGTATTAATTGCACATATTAATGGCTTTCATTGTGACATTGCCATATAATGTGCTCTGATGGTGTCCACCTTCCCTAACACCCTCTCACTCCCCTCTTCATTCCATTGCCCTTTCCCAGGTCCCCTCCTCCTTCCTGCCATCCCTCCCCGATGCCACATGAGAAAAAACATGCCCTATGTGTCACTCTGAGACTGGCTTATTTCACTTAATGTGATGACCTATGGTTCTATGCACCTTCCTGCAAATACTGTACTGCTCTTCTTCATGGCTGAAGACTACTCCGCTGTGTATATACACTACATTTTCTTTATCCATTCCTGTCAGCAGGAGCCTAGGCTGAGGCCACAACGTGGCTGCTGCGCACGGGGCTGTGATGAACACGGGTGCCCAGGCAGCTTTTGTACGCCAACTCTGATTCCTTCCGGGACAGACCCAGGACAGGTAGAGCTAGTCCTGTCTTAAGCTTTCTGAGGAATTTCCATACTGCTTTCCACAGTGGTGGTACTAAGTTACACTCTCACCCACAGAGTGTGAGCTCCTTTCCTCCGCGCTGCACTAGCACTTGCTATTTTTGCTTCCTTGATAACAGCCGTCCTAACTGGGGTGGGAAGGAATCTTACTGTAGTTTTTTGCTTTGCATTTCCTGATGACTAAGGACGATGAACATTTTTTTCACACATTTATTGGCCATTTGTACTTCTCAGAAGTGTCTATTCAATTCATTTGTCCATTTACTGATTATGTTATTCTTTGGCTCTTATAATTTTGGAGTTCTTTATGTATTCTGGATATTAATCCGCTATCAGATGAATAGCTGGCAAAGATTTTCTGTCATTCTGTAGGTTGAGAAGACAAATTTTTTTTTTTTTTTTTTTGGTTTGTTTGTTCGTTTTTCAATACTGAGGACTGAATCCAGGCAGCAATGAGCTACATCCTTAATTCATTTTTTATTTTCAATTTTGAGACAAGTTCTGCTAAGCTGTCCAGGCTGGCTTTGAACTTGAGAGCCCTTGTCTCAGCATCCCAAGTAGCTGTCATTACATGCGTGTATCATCATGCCTAGCCAAAAGGCACATTTTGGAATGCAGGTTTTTCCTACTGCTGCGTCACTAAATTTAAGATGTTATCATTTGTGGTTTGTTTGTTGTTGGGTTTTTTTTTTTTTGGGTGGTACTGGGAATCAAACCTAGGGCCTTGTGCCCACTAAGCAAGTACTCTGAAAATGCTGCCAATCAAACGAAGACATACTGTCTAGTTTTATAGTGCTTTCATTTCTGATATGTTAAATGTTAAAAATGTCTCAGGACTGATTTATGGCCCAGCTTACAGCCCATCCCAGTGTGACCTTCCTGCCACCCCATGTGGGGAGCAAGGAGACCCATGCCCAGCCCTGCCCCTACCTGCCCACTGGGTCAGAAGTGAAGCCCTGGTGAGAGCGCTGCAGACACTGCAAAAGGCCATGCGCAGGAGAAGACTAGAAATGCAAACGTCCCAGAAAGGCTGATACAATGGAGGAAGGAATTCTGGGAAGTGACTTCGTAGGGTTAGGAACAAACATTATGCATGATTTGATTTGATTATGAAGTGATCACATATGGCATAATTAAGAGATAATAAAACCTGGGTGAATCTGGAAAAATTTTTGAACAATGTCTTCTATTTTTTTTTTTTTTTCTTATTTGGGGGGGAAATTCCTAAAAGTTGGGGGAGACTTTTCTTCTAGGTTTCCTCCTCTTTCCTAGTACTCTGACATCTTCAGGCTGCTGGCTTGGCTGAAGGGCCTGAAGTAGTGAAAGGTGTCTCTTGAGCCACCAGCCATGGGACAGAGTGGATCTGGCATTGCACGGGGGCACAGCCTGGGGTTTGTGTCTGGAACTCCCAATCCCTGCCTGATATCAAATGCTTTTCTGCTTCTGCAGGGCCTGGATGGGGCACGGATGGCCCCACACAGTTTGGAAGGCTTGTGAGCTTTGTTTTGGAGACAGGGTCTTGTTACGTAGCTGGCCTTGAACTCACTCTGTAGCCCAGGCTAACCTTGAACTCAAGGTGATCTTCCTGCCTCCACCTTCTGAGTGCTGAGATTACAGGCATGCATCGCTAGGCTGGTGAGCTTTGAAAAACTCAGACAAAACAAAGGTCTTAGGCCTCCCTTGGTATCCAAAGATCTTCCAAAGCCTGATCACTCTGAAAGTCATATACACTTTTCTGAAAAAACATCATCTTTAGACAAAGCCTGGGGATTTTACATCCTGACTGGGAACTCAGGAGATTCCAAGGCCAAGAAAGGTATCATTTGATTCCCTCCAACTGTCAGGGCCAGAGGCTGTCTCAGTGTGTCCTGGCCCCACTGCCCCAGTGTCACCTGGGAATGCAGCAGAGACACACTGCCAGGCCTCAGCCACACCTGATAAATTAGGGAGCTGGGGACAGGCCCAGCATTCTGAGCCACCCGTGATGCTTCGGCAGTGAGCTTGCTTGGAGGCCACTCTCCAGGACCGCTCTCTATCCTCATTTGCTGCTCACCTTAGGCCCCTGGAGCCGCTACCTGACCCTGTTTCTCTGTCGACAGACAGGCTTCCCACAGCCACAGCCTCTTCCTCAGGGTCCCTGACGCTCTACTTGGTTCCAGAGCGACTTGCTATGAAATAAACAAGACGCCTTCCCCCGATTCACACCACTAGTGCAGCTGTCTGAGGAGGGGGCGTGGGGGGGAAACAGGGTCATGGCAGCTCCTCTGTGGAAGGCAGCGGACAAGTGCCACCAAAGTAACGCAGACCTAATGTGGACACAAAATGCACAAACAGACAAACTCCCGAATCTGACCCATGGCTCAGCCTGGCCTATCTGGAGAAGCAAAGGGCCAGCAGCGAGGCCCGGTCCGGCTTGGAGCTGCCACTGGGATCAGGACACACAGGCTCCGTCATTCCCTTGCTCCTCCAGCACTGTCGCACTCCTTGCCCTTGTTTTGCCTCAGACAACTCGCATTACGACATTCATGTCTTCCCTTCCAGGAGGGCAGCTCCTGTCTAGTGCCACTGTTGGATCCCCAGTCTCAAAATGCACACCTGCCACACGGCGCTTCTCAGTCTGCACTTGTCCGGTGAGAGGAACTGGGCACCCTGGCCAAACCCAAGCCTCTCGGGCCCTCTGAAGCGGCATGCAGATGCACCCCTCGCCCTGGAGCCCTGGGAGGGAGCCACTAAGGTCCACCCCGCCAGGGGGCCTGGTCACTGCTGCCACAGGCAGTGGAAATGGACCATCACTAAAGGGTGACCCGCTGTTGGCGCCACCCTCAGGGCTGTTCATTAACCCACGACACCGCGGTCACGGTCAGCCAGAGGGGTGGGGACCAGCAGCACCTGGATTTCCCGGATGAGGGAGCTGAGGCACAGTGAGTTTCGTGGGGCCCAGGGTTACAGGCAGTGTCAGGGTTAGCGACTGACTGCCGGCTGGTGCTGCGAGCTGGGATGGGGACAGCAAGGCTCAGCCTACTACTGCTCCAGCTGCGCGCAGCCTCCCCAGGCTGTGGCCTTGATACGGCCTCTCAATGCCCCCTGGATTCAGTGCTGCCTGTTTCTGGCCTCCTTCCAGGAGGAAGTTCCTTTGCAACTTCTTCCCTGTTGCAAAGAAAACCTCAATGCCCTGGCTGTTTCCTGGTACCTGCTGGCCCTATTCACCAGGCCCTTTGAGAGGAACAGTTACCTGTGGGATTCCTGGCCCTATATGCTAGCCCAAGTTCTTGCTTAGGAGCACGGCAGCTCGGTTTCTGCTGCTCTGGGAAAGCCAGGACTCTCGTCTCTGCGAGGAGGAGTCTCCACCTTTTCTGTAGCCAGCCCAGGTTGCAGCCCAGATGCCGAGGAGCGGGTGGGGGATCTTGCAACTTGAAAGCTTCTGCTGGCCACGGTGCTATCCTGACGTGGAATGCCAGCAAGGTTGGGCCCACTGCCAGAGCAGGGTGGCAGGCACTTTGGGGAAGCGGTGCTCTCACCGGTGATGGTAGCTGGGCCACCTCTCGGGGACACGGCTCAGACTGTGCTGAGTTCACAGGGTACCCCGACCCCACCCACCATGCCAGGCGCAGGGCACGGCACCTACCTAGGTCGGCATCTGTGCTCTTCTTCATGTCCTTCTGCAGCCGCTTGGTCTGCTCTTCCAGCCTGCAAAGCAGGGGCAGCCCTGGGCACCAGCCCTACTGCGCTCAGCCCATGTCCCTGCTACCGCTATAGGGTGAGCCCTGGCTGCTATGCACGTTGCCTGCCCACTCCCCACCCCGGCGGGGGCTGACCCTCTCTCTGGGGATGCTTCCCACTGCTTGCAGGAGGTCAAGCGCTCGAAGTCGACCTCCTTCCTACAGCCACGTACAGGGACAGAACTCAAAGTCTGGTGATCCGAGCAGCCATTAGCCAGGCTGGGCAGGCGTGAGGCCTGGCAGGAGCAGGCGCTCGAGCCCGACTCCCTGACTCCCACCGCACTCTCCAGGGTTTGACACTCACTGTTGGAGTTTTCCATACTCCCTTTCAAAGTCTCTCTCCACCTGTAACGAGAGAAAGATAACTCAATCAACAGAGAAATGACAACGGGATGGAAAAAATCTCCCGGCTTGCGGAAACTCTCTCCACACCCTCCCTGCAGCCTGCAGGGAGCCTCCGGCAGATTGTTAAGGACACAGTATCCCTGTGTTCCCAAATTAATGAAGTGTTTGATTTGGGGAGAACTTCTCCCCTCCTGGAGGGGCCAGCCGGGCAAGTCACAGCGGATCGTGGCTCTGTTCTGCCACTGCAGGCGCCAAGCTGGGTGCCCTCCCCTCACCCCGACTCTGGTGGCGGTCAGGGTGCTCTGAGCGGGACTGAAACCCAGGCCAGGAGGGAGCGGGGCGCAGAGGAGGAGGCCTGGGGTTCAGGGCTGGCTCTGCTGCGTCCTAGCAGGGGACCCCAGCAGGTCCCCTGTCCTCTCAGCCTCAGTTTCCTCTCTGCCTGGTCGGGCTCGGGGCAGATCTGAAAGGTCACATATGTGACCGCAGGTGGGAGATCTATTTTGGAGCATGGGGCCTTGCTGGGGCCCTTCCAAGTCTGCTGTTGGGTGTTAGTCTAGTAGAGCTCTCTCCCACGGGGCCATGGAGAGGGCAGTTTTCAAAGGGTTCCTTTAAATGGGCAGAGACCGAGGATGTATGAACTCTGGTACCAGCTGTGGAACCTGAAAAATATGTCCTCACATTCCTCAGCCTTACTTCTCTGGTAAAATGGGTTAATTTCATTTAGTCATTCCCCATGACACCTTCAGCCTCAGAGGTGTGTTTTCGGATTTAAATGGGCAATATGTGCAGAGCACACAGTCAGGCGGCAGCTGACTCATGACTGGGCACACTGAGAAGCCCGCGGGACAGAAGCGCTCAAGGCACCGGGGCATGCCAGGAGGGAAACCCTGACACAGAGCCCCGTGCTGCGCGCCCTGACAAGGCTGCAGCTCTCTTCTCCCCTCAGGGAGGTGGCCGCCGGGCTGTGTCTTCACCTACTGAAGGCCTTTATTTATGGAAGGGTAAAATAAAAACTAAGTGTATCTTGGCCAGAGTCAAGCTCTCTGAGACCCAGAGTGCCCGCCGAATTGCTGCACCCTCTGGCTCATGGTCGCCTCTTGTGCAATGCGCTTAGCGTGCTCCTGTGTGTGGGATGCCAGAGAACACCTGGTCTTCCAGTTGGGGACTGCTTGGACTTGCACAGCGTGGGACCTCAGGGTTCCAACCGGGGGGTACCTGGGTGACGAGGAACAAGAGGGATTCCGCTGAGAGCACGTGGTGGGGTACAACAGGGTGGGGGCTGACCCAGCCTGCTCAAACTGCCTCTGCCTGACAGCATTTTGTTGTCCTGCTTCCAGGAGCTTACTGGCCCAGGTCTCTCTGCACAGGGAAAAGACCCACTGGGGACAGCAGTGGAATTCCAGCCCCTCAGAAGATGGGGAAGGGAATAAAAGGACACGCTGGAGTCACATTCCGAGGTATGGTTTCTGAGGGAAGGAGCCCAGTGGAAAAGATCTGAATGCTTGATGCCTCTGCCAAAAAGGCAGCTGGATCCCAGTCAACAATGCAAGTGCAAACATATGTGCCAGACGGTCAGGGGACCAGGCCGGGCTGGGCTGGGCCAGGCGAGCCAGGTTAGCCCAGGGAGGACCAAGCTGCAGACTGCCGCCCCCTGCCACTCCTTGCATTCTCTGGGGCAGGATGCAAAGGACCACACTGTGGAGTGGCGTCGTTCAGTGAGTGAACAGGTTCAGTGCCCCCAAATTTAAACTCACAGTGAAGTGAAAAAGGAGGCCACAGGCAGGGCCAGAGCTTTAATGCCAGGGCAAAGTGCATCATATTAGAGCCCAGGCAGAGGGCGTGTTCTGAGCCCCTCTACTAGAGCATCGCCCAGGAGGCGACTGGGAGCGAGCGTGTAGGCACAGGGGCTTGGCCAGCACTCTGGGGCTCTGGGGAGCTTGCGTCTGGCCAGGAAATGCCTCGTTTTTATTTCATCCTTTCAGTCTGCTCCAACAGCGTTAGGGAGGCAGGGGGTCCCTCTGTTCAGCATGTGAAACCTGTCTCCCCTGCAGAGGTTCAGTGTGGTCACTCTGGGGTCAGTGTGGTCACGCAGGGACTTCACAGCGTGACCACCCAGTGAGCAACCTTGGCTGTGCTCTCCTTTGTACACCAGACTGCAGGCCGTGCCTTGGAGGGTCACAGGAAGCAAAGCTTTAAGAGTGTCTTCCCTTGTGGCTTAGGCAGGCAGGCAGGTGTGGCTGCTTCCTCCACACCATGGTCCGGCCACTTTATGGAGCCACCAAGGTCTAAGTGGAAGGCTAGGACTGGGAGGCAGGGGTTGGTTCCTCGGTCCCAGTGCTCACGGCCAATGCCTGCAGAGAACATGCCATTCCGGCCAAAGCCTTGACAATGGCGGAGTGTATGGTAATAACCTGGGCACAGGAGAGCGGTGAGAGCAAAGACACAATGCTTCCTTTGTGGTTGGCAGTTGGATGCCTTGAGCCAAAATCCTCTTGAAACTCCCTGAAGATAACATGAGCATTTCTTCCCGTGACAGGGGCACCATGACTTCCAGTAACCTGAGCAGCCACATGTGCTCCCCTCCCTGAGTGCCTGGGCAAGAACACCACAGTGCGTCACTACCAGTTGCGGGGAGCTGCCAGAGACGCCAACGACTGCACAGCCTGGGCCTGCTCTGGGGGGTGCAGGGGCTGGGGGAGCATGTGGTCCAAGGGGCAGGGTCTTGCTCCATAGACCTCAGCACTCTGGGGTGTGGAGAAGAATGGGCCAAGTAAGCACACAAACTCTAGCCCAGGCTGTGACTTGGCTTTACTTCTCTGAGGGAGATCAAAGGCCCAGCCTTGGATTCCACTGCTGTGGGAACGGAGCTGTGTGGACAGGCCGAGACCTTCATCAACTGGTTTCCTGTCATGCAGTGGGCATCACTGAGGGCTTCCTGCAGGTCAGACACTGTACATGTTACCCTATGTGAAACGTGCAATATCCATGACATGGGTACTATCAGCACCATTTTACACACAAGAAAGCTAAGGCTCAGAGAAGCTAAGGAACACGATACTTTTCTGTAGAAAACAAAGGCCATTTTGACGAAGACTGGGTATTGGAAGGGTTTTCTGTGTTTGTTCTTGGTAGCCAATGATGGAAAAAAGAGCCTTCCGAAAACGACTTTTTTTGGATCTGCCATAGATTAAACTCTAGAGGCTCAAAGCCACACCTTCTCACTTCCTGTAGCTGGCTGGGCCCGGCATTTGCACACCCAGGGTCTCTGGGCTTCAGCTGAGAGCTTCCACAGATGGTCAGCCCTGCCCGAGGCGATGTGCCTTTGCACGAAGCAGTGGAGGACTCATTTAATTCACACCCAGTTCCTTTCAAGTGACCTCACTTTGGATTTCCCAAAGATGGAGGCACTGGTCAGGCGTGTGCTAACCTTCCTGCTGAAACAAAGCAGTATCCTTCCTGGAGTTCTGAAAGCTGAGCTGAGGAGTGAGAAGTTAGCAAGAAGAGGAGGTCCGCCAAGGGCTGTGATGACAAAGACAAGGCCCTCGACTTGCTGGAGCCATCGAAAGAGAGACCTGCTGTAGTTATGCTCGCTCATGTTAAAAGCAAGGGCCACACTCAGATTTGTGGGTAAGGGGCCAAGGAAGCATCTCCGTACTCGCGTTGCCAAATCCTAGAGATCTTCACAGCCAGGGGCAGCCTGGAGCCAGGGAAAGAGTGCACAAACCCGAGTCCTAATTCCAGCTCTGTCAATAGGGGGCTTTCAAACCTTAGAAAGTCTTGACCACCCTATGGGCCTTATTTTATGCTGCGGAAAAATCAGGAGGTTGGGCCAGATGAGCTCTGAGGGATTTATCTCTGACCTTCTAGATTCTGTGACTTTTCTCCCTCTTCTATTTGGAAGCTAAGTTGGGGCTAAATCCTAGGGCTCCAAGGCGGATAGAAGCCAGTCATTCTGTGCTGCCTGGGACTGTATTATGGGAAAGAACACTTTTGATTGTGTGGCTGAAGGGACCAAGGTCTCCTGAAAGTAGACGCCTGTCTCTCATGTAGCTCAGGTGAACAGAAGTGAAGGTATGGGCCACATGTCTAGTTGGGTTCCATGGTCCAGGAGTCCTCTTAGGAAAAGGACTGCTCAGATGCAAAACCCTGTAAACCACCTCTTCTACCCACCCAAAGATGGGTAACAGCCTGAAACAGCCCTGGTCAGGAGGCCCCCATAAGCCCCATCTTCAAGAGATTCTAGATCTACATGCCTGGGAACAAGGCCCAGGTTGCTGTTTTCCCTGCCCTAAGAGTGCTGAGTCAAAGCTCTGGTTCTGTGCAGATGCCACGTGAGGCAGAAGTGAGTCTCAGAGTGAAAGAATCGGGTTACTCACTGTTTTGGGAACAATCTGTTTCTTGGGCTGCCCAATCTTGAAAGGAATCCTATAAGAAAGAGACCAAGAGGGATACTGTGAGGAAAAGGAAGGAGGTAGGTGAAAGAAAAAATGCACAGGGCCTTGCATATGCCAGGGGATAAGGACTGGAGGGGCTAGCTACTTGGCACTTGTACCCAAGCCCTGGAGGGCGCAGGGCCATGGGCCCCTCCCATGGATAGTGTCCCGTGCAGCTCTTGAGCACCACCTCTTGCCCCAGAGCATCTTTCCATGAATGGCCTGTGGTTTGCTGAAAAAGAGAGGAGAATGGGGAGAGACCCCTGAACAACAACCAAGAGAGAAACTGCAGACGCCCTGGCACAGCTGCCATGGTTGGAGACATTCCTTTAAAAGCCCCAACAAAAATCACACATCGTCTCTATCAGGTGCTTTAGTGCTTCTCTGCAGGGGGACACCATGGGTCTGCAGGGTGTCTAAGGAGGGAAGGGAGGGATGAGTTGAGCACCAGCCCAGCCTCCACCTCCTGGACCAGGCTGCCCTCTGGCAGCTCACTGCCGCACCGGGCTTTACTTTCTTGCTCTGGAAAGTAAGTGGAGTAAAACCAGGTAGTTTAGGAGCTTCCTCCAGGCACAGAAAACTGTATTTCTACCAGCCTGAGAGGAGAACTGCGGCCAGGCTAGAAAGGCAACGTGGTGCATCCCAGGAGTTACGGAAATAGTAGCGCCCCCCTCTCCACTGCCCTGCCCCCTATAGGAAGTGGAGCCCCCCACCCTTCCCTTCACACCCTTCTCCCCCAGCCTGCTTCCATTTGGCCCAAACTGACCAACACCACCGCTAAAGCCAACAGTGTAATTAACTCCCGATAATAACCCCAGACAACAAGCTGGCTGAGGGGATGGGCCAGCCTGAGTCACAGTGGTTTAAATTTAATTTCTGGAGGACATCCTGTTTATTGTTAACCCAGCCCCATAATTTGGGAGTGTTAACCCTTTGGGAGCTGGCTGATTCACGTGGCTTCTGTAAACAAATCATCTTGGGTTATGTAATTACCATGGGAGGAAAGGTAAGCTACAGAACTGAAAGGGGAGGAAAAAATTAAATTCTTATTTCCCTTTGTGAGACCAAAGAGGAAGGGCTCAAGGAGAGGTGAGACCTCTCCCCAAGTCCCCAATTACTTTTCCCATAATCAGGGATTGGAGCTGACAGATGGTGAGCAACGGTCCTCAAGGACCATTATGGAGACGGCGCAAATGAGGTCCTGGCGGCATTGCTGCAAGATTGCTCGTGTTCTACGGAGAGCACGCGGCAGTGTAAAAGCCTCTCACCGGGAGCACAAAGCCTGGTCTGTCTTACCAGTTTTGTGATTTGAACTAATCGCATCTCTCCAGAGCCTGGCTTCTTCAACTACGAAACAAAGGAGTTGTAACACATGGTCCCTTCCGTTTATCTGAGAGGAATCTCATCCCAAGAACTCGGGGAGTGGGCCACAAATCCTGCAGAACCCTCAGAGTGGTCTGCATCACAGCTCTGCCTTGGAGTCTGATAGTACACACACCAGGAATCAACAGAGTCGAACTTAGTTGCCATTACTTCTAGCGCTGCAGCTCCTCTCTAAATCTTAAATTAGAATCACAATATTTTTAGAACTGCAAGTCACCATAGAAAAATTTTTCCCAGTTCAACCCTCTCATTTTGGAGACAAGCAGATCAGGAGCAGTTCAACGACTTGCCCAGGGTCGTAAGAACCAGGAAGAAGCCACCAGGGCCCCTGGCTTCTGGCCCAGTTTCCCCTCTGCCATTCAAGGGTCAATGCTTCTCTCACCTGGATTTTTATTTATTTTAAAATTTTTATTAGTACATGTTTGCAGCACATAATGAGTACATTCATTGTGGGGAACTGGTACACAGAAATACCACATCTTAACTCTTTTTTTTCCTTCCCCTCCACCATTTTCTGCCAGAATCAGATTCATTTATTTATAAGTCCTTATAAAGTTAATTATCACATATACAGATTAACAGCCAGACTAACAGGCCAATAAAGACAGAAAACACACGTGACAGTTGTACTAAATCATGCTACACTTTTACACTGTCCATGCTGGATTACAATAACTGTTTTTCCTCTCTCACACATGGATTTTTTAATATGTATTTGATCAAAATGTCTGAAGTACTATGGGAGCAGAAGAGGCTCATAGCTCTCCAAAAGACCGGAAGTGAAAGAGCTCATACTGAAGCACAGGATGGTTCGGCACTGAGAGGCTATGTGTCCTATGCAGATTTGCATGGAGTCTCCGTATTTCCAACACAGCTACTGACCATCAGATACTTGATTGTACTGTTTTGAGTTTTCAACTCACCAGCTTAAAAGCCATGTATCTACTTGCTATTACATCCTTTTGAAGAAAATTCCCTTATTCTCTCTGATTGAACCCAGGGTCTTCACACTGAGCTATACCCCCAGCCTTTTTTTCTTTTTTGAGATAGTGTCTTAGTTACTTTTCTTTCGTTGCCGAGACAAAATACCTGATGCTCAGAATTAAGGAAAGGTTTATTTGGCTTACAGTTTGTGGAAGTTTCAGTCTATAATCAGCTGGCTCCATGGCAGGGTGGCACATGGCAGAGGGCAACAGTTCACGGCAGCGGAAGACAGCAAAAGCAACAAGAGCACAAGGGGGAGAGTGGCAGCAAGCAGCCTCTTTCCTTTTCTTACATTGTATGCAAACTACCAGCCCCAGTGCAGGTGTAGCACTCACACCCATAATCCAAAATTGGACCATGAATCAATCATAAACTTTAGAAGCCTGCCTATGACTGCATGAGGCTTTGGGGGGACATCCAGACACACACCATACACCATAACAGACAGTGTCTCACTAAGTCACCCCAGACTGGGCTTGAACTTTAATCCTCTGCCTCAGCCTCCCAAAGTCCTGGGATTATAGATGTGTGCCACCATGCCTGAGTTTATAAACTTTTTATTACATTTTAGATCTACTTGGAAATTGTAAGGGAAGTATCATAATATTCCCATGTCCCCCACACTGCTTCCCCTTTCATTAACATCTTAAATCAGTATAATGCATTAGTCATAATTTTTTTTTTTTTTTTTCTTTTTGAGACAGGGTCTCGCTATGCAGTTCAGGCTGGCCTTGAGCTCACTTTGTAGCCCAGGCTGGTCTCGAACTTGCAATGGTCCTCTTGCCTCAGCCTCCCGAGTACTGGGATTACAGGCATGCGCCACCATGTCCAGCTTAGTCATAATAAACCAATATGGATGTCAGGTTCATTCAGATTTGCTTAGTTTTCCCTCAATGTCCTTTATCAGTGCTGGGATCCCAGCAGGTCAGTATGTTACATTTAGTCTGGAAGTCTCCTTAGGGTCCTCTTGGTTGTAGAGGTTCTCAGACTTTGCTCTGTTTGGCGACACTGCGAGTGTTGGGCAGACACCTTGTAGACCCCTCCCCCGGGATCTGCCCCCTTCTTCTGACCACTCCAGGGTTATGGGCTTCGGGAGGAAGAGCACAGAGCACGGGAGCCACGCTCACTGCGTCACAGCAAGGACATGCGCTGTGGCCATGACCTCCGTGTGGATGGCGTCCTTGACCGCCAGGTTGCGGTTGTCTGCCAGGTCTCTCCACTGAGAAGCTACTTCCCTCCATCTTTTTCTACTGGACTTTTTGATAGAAAACCACAGTGTGGCTAAGCCTTATTTAGTCAGTCATTTATATCCTTATGGACTCACGGACATGTATTTTATACTTTGGGTTATAAACCGATGCTACTTTATTTTGATACTAAAACTTGTGGCTTTGGCCATTGGCAGCTTTTTCAGCTGGCTTTTGAGTCCTGCGGACATACCTATGTCAGTGTGTGCATGCGTGTGTATGCACGCGCACGTGTTTAGCACTTCTTAAAATACAAAATGCTCCATTTGTGCCTAGCCCTCGATCTGGTGAGGAGCTTACACTTTCAATGTACTTCTAAAGGGTCTCAACTTTCCTTTCGGTCTTCTTTCTCATTTGCTCAACCCTACTACCTCAGTCAGCCACACAGCTGTTTGTTAATCCCCCCAATCTAGACTCCTTACAATTTCCTGTCCCCAACTGGGACATTTTTGAGTGCCTGTCATTGGGACAACTGTCCAGGAAAATGGGGACATGGTTGAACCACCCAAAGGGAGTGTCTTCTCCACCTCCTGGCTCACTCTAAGTTGTTCTCAACTTGACAAAGCCTTGCATAGCTTCTTCAGTGTCTAAGACTTATTTGGCATTTAAAAATATTCTATTTTTTATAGTTTGTCCCTTGAAAAAGTAAAATATGTTCACTAGAGAAACTTGAGAAAGAGAAAAGGATGGAAGGAAAAGAAGAAAAAAATTCAGTCATAATCTCATTATCTAAAAGTTGACGAGAGTAATTTTATTTAAAAAATTATTTTATGCTGGGTGTGGTGGCACATGCCTGTAATCCCAGCCCTTGGGAGGCGGAGGCAGGAGGATCACTGTGGGTTCAAGGCCTCAGCTGCATAGTGAGTTCAAGGAAAGCCTGAACTACATAGAGAGACCCTGTCTCAAAACAGACAAAATTTCTTGGTACATGTTTGCAGTGCAAATGACTACGTTCATCGTGGGGACTTGGTACATGAAGGATTAATGTTTTGGTGGTGTTAATTGTATCTTTAAAACTTGCAGAAAGAAAAATGACTGAGGCAAATAGGCCAAATGTTAGCAGTGGTTAATTCTAGTTGGTGAAAATATGATTACTGGTTTCTTCTTTGCACTTCCCATATTTTTTTTTTCAAATAAACCAAAAGAAAGAACCCTTGTGTTCCTTCTTCAATACAAAAATAGCCCCTGATCAGTGTTAAAAACTTGGGAAGGAATGGAAAAACACAAAGAACAAAACACAACCACCCAAAGAAAAAAATGAGCAGTGATGCCGTCAATGTGGACATGTAGCTATGATCCTCCTGCCTCAGCCTCCTGAGTTCCTGAGCCTACTGGTGTGTGCCACCATGCCCAGCTAGCATCTTGATTTTTATGAGTA